ATTCGAAGAAGAGCAAGTGTGTATGATTTACAAGATGTCAATCATGCTCCCACTTGCTTAGAAAGAGGAATTCCCAACCAGAGATGAGTGCAAGTTAATGTGGTGTTTACACAAACGTGCCTTCTTTATATATGTGTCACTGTTTGAATGTATTACTAATCTATCCACAACCTTCTTCTCTGCCGAATATATGACGAGAACACTTATGTTGTAGGTTGAAAAGAGTTTGACGAAATTGGCGCATTGCACATATGACAAAACTACATTAATAAATACCCACTATGTTTCACAGCAACAACGTCCTATTTTGCAAATCGCCCGACATGAGCTTTCTAAGCTATCAAGCAAATTCGATTATGTATTTTAAAAAATGAAATTACATGTTTGAACTACATTTAATGGAATATCTCACGACACTTGAGCCGTCAGGAATGTTCTTGCATCAGTTAGAAATAAAGAAAGGGGCGGTTATTACGAAGTTGCATAATATTGACGTCCTAAATGGTCTCTGCAATGGGACCTGCAAAAATTACAAAAATCAGTTGACGATGACTCCACGAATAGACAATTACTAGGACAGCCATATACCGCTTCGCTTAAGAAAGGGGCTCCCGTTCGCGTTGCTTTTGCAATGAGAATTAATGAATCTCAGGGACAATTATTCAATAGAGTTGGTGTCTACCTTTCTAATGATGTTTTCAGTAATGGGCAGCTATTTTTGCCTTCTCTCGAGTTTGAGCACCCGCAGGCCTCAAAGTGAACAATCCTGTAAGAACAGTGAAAAATATCGTCTACAAAGAGGTTTTACATTAGAGCTTTCCACGTCAAACCAGAGTAAATGTACTAAGTAGACAAATCGTTTTTCATAGAACTTATCAGAAAAATTTCAGTAGAACAAAAACAGAAGAGTCCTGCACGGTCTGATTCAAAGACTTAGTGAAGTTCTTTTGTTGCTCAAAAAATGGAAGGTTGTCATCAAAAAGTAAAACTGTTGCGGCATTCCACATTTTAATGGTCTTAGTACTTTTAATTATTCCACACATGAGCTGTTTAGCATTTCCTAAAAACAACAGCATATGAACGAACTGCGAAGTGGTTACAATAAATCTTCTATTATAATCGTGTGCTGTATTTAAAAAAGACTTAAACGGAGACGCTACACCAAATTTCACCCGTTCTTGTTCCTTTAGAAGGTAACAGTTACAGCGGACGCTTGCATACAGAAGTCTGAGCTTCCGGCGTAAGTCGGTCGATCAGACTAGTATATTGTAACTTATGATTGTAAATGAGAGACCGCTAGCTGAAGAACGATGAAATCGAAGACAAGCACTCTGCAAGTGCTAAATCGTACTATAGCATAGAATTAATTGTCCGATGAGACTATCTCCCGTCGCTCGAATGAAAAGGGCTTTTCCCGAAATAAGCGACCTTAACACATCCGGATGATGAGTGATAAAGAAGCTGACCTTAACAAAAAGTTTTTTCTAGCAAAGTTGAAAGTGACAACCGATTTTGCTCCGTCTTTGCAGTCTCGTGAAAGCGTATAAGCTCTCTTCTTTAAACTTATGAATTATATCTTAATCCTGCAAGTCGGCTGATTATTAGTTGTGTGGGGGGATCAGCTGATAAAATACCTTGGTTTTAGATTGAGCATGTCAATCAACTCCAAAGCAATGTTCCCACATATCTGCCCACAGCCGATTCCTTGAACATTTATGTATTGCGTCGTTGTATAAAAATGCGTCAAACAGCGACGCTTTACGGGCGTTTTCTGAGTTACTCGATCTGCATATCGCTAATGCGGAAACGTATGGTTTGTCATGTCTTTGGTCAAGGAACGTCTCGGCTGCAACATTTTTAAATTCGGGCAATTACTCTACACAAGTGAGAGGAAATAGCGTTTGAAGAGTATATTTCTACTCGAAAGCATTTGAGGCTTCAGACATTCTTGTGCATAATCCTAAAATGAACAGCAAGAACTAGCATTGTCTATGACGAATGTACGGCCGTTCTTAACATTATGTGATCTATAAGATCGTTCACGACTCCTTAACCACGTGCAAGTCAACATCGCTCTGTTTCATTATCATCCGTGGCCAGTAGGAAGGTGAGCTAGCATCTCTAAGCTCTGTGGAACACTGGTAGGTCAATATGTTAGCTCGGACACTAACTGCAATCATTAAAGAGAAGTCAAATGTGTGATGTAGCGGAGGAGTTTGATGGTATAAGATTCTGATAAGTACTTGACCCTTTTTCAAATCTCTGATGACGGCGTTAAGCCGAGATGGCAAGCATAAAAGTGTTCTTATACAAACTGTTACGCCACTCGAAAAACACTAAGATCAAATCTAATCATGCCAAGGTTTTAAGATAAGAAATCTTATGATTATGTATATTTTATAAATATACATATTATGTATATATATATATATA